TTTGCAAATGCTGTTGGTAAGGCTGAAAGTGGGTAGGGCAAAACATCCTTCAGGTCCAGTCGTTGCTCCTGGGCAACCATCATCATACGAAGAAAAAGATGTATACTCTCTTTCTTTGACGCATTTGCAAGAGAATTAATGGACTTGACTTTCTGTCCAATATCTGAAAAAGCTTTTGTTATTGGCAGAGAGAGTGTTTGAAACACCCCCTTTTCAGCTGTTATAGCACGGTCATGAACATACTGCCTGAAGCCTGCCTGGGATCTTTGCACTCAGACTCAGAGTCAGACTCACACTCAGAAGAGCTTGAGTTAGTATCATTAGACAGCATAAATGTGCTAACTCCAGGCCTGCTTTTTCAGACATAGATGTCATTAGAACCAGTTCACATGCACAAGACTGGATTGAAGTGAACTGCGACTTTGGGTACCCCCTCACCAGTCTAGCCTTCAATGGAAGTTTTGATATCCACTGATGTCGATGTGCTCAATGTCAGAAGAGTAGTTATTGAAGAATTAAGTCAACGAATTCATTTTCATAACTTCACCACCATCGATTATCATTTTCTGAATAACCTCTGCACAGAATGTGTCAAACGATTCAGTACGTATTCTTGGAGATTTCTCCTTTACAGCCAGACACTTCATCACATACAAGTACACCATATAACAAGATGCATGGTATCGTGCCTCCGAGCCCAGGCACACTGGATCCATGTCTCCAATCTGTGTTAGGATACGGTTATCATTTTTAGCTCGGCAGCTTTAAGCAGCTTTTCAGCATTGGTCTCACAGGTAACCAATCTTTCAGCCTTGTGCTTCCGATTAAAATCAGTGATCATCATGGTACCCTGGCAAAATATGGAAGTACATGGCATGATCTCTCGGTTGCCTTGCTTCTCCGGCTACATCAAAATGCTAACCGCAAGGTGTGTTTTTTTCAGAAATAGTCCATCTAGTTCATTGCTGCTTGGCCGGTCTTCGGCAGGCACAAGAGGTCGGCGAAGCATTCCCTTTTCTCTCCCAGCTAACCCTTGAGTTGTGATAAATCAGTCACCAAAATAGCCATAAATATAGGGTTCTAAAATGTTGAGGTGGAAGGGTGCTACACCTCAACTGTGTTCACAGTGTGATCTTTATTTAGGTCAGTCCCAACTATAGTTGGCTCGGAAATAATGCCGCTTGACACTCTGCTGGCGAAAATATTGGCCAATTATGCAACAAGATTGAAAGATCGACTGGTTGCACCAAACGTTGAACATAAACCAACAAAACCATAGTCTGAATAACTAGGACCCTAAAATTGCCTTTTGTGACATTTGGACACAGTCAGGTGATATAGTGGGGGTCCTGTCAGCTCATTGGCGTATGGGAGAATGTAAGACTTAAACAGCTCTACCACTGAGCAAAATAAGACAGACAAGAATTATGGTCTTAAAATTGTACAATAGGGGCGCTCTTCTCCCAGTCGAGCTTTTTCATCTTTGACAAGAACCGGGAGATAAACATAAAAAGGGATCAAAATCAACTGTAGCTGTTCTTCCTAACGAGTCCCTTACCTTAGGAAAGAACAACATGCAGAGTGAAACCGTTATGCAGAGGAGCATGAACCCTGAGACGAGGGCAAAGGTCATGGCTGGTGACGAGGTATTCAAGAAAGACAGCGCAACGGCCACCACACAGCAGATGACGGTGTTATAGATGGACAAGCCCACGTAATGGCTATCATTCAAGCCAGACACTTTGACATTTCTATAAAACGGATAAAATAGGTCCTGGTTTCAGAAATCAGTAGATGACTTCAATGAACAATTTTTCTGTGGTTAACTTATTTTACTTCTCTGTGCATGTCACTCAAGGGACGCATACACTGAGCTGAATACAATCTTTGGGTGTTTCCTGCTCACACTGGACTTAAAACCTACAGTACTAGCTACTCGAACACAATTCATCGGTAATCATTTACATCGTGATTCATGGATCACCCGCTAAAGTATTTTCCCTGACTCCTACAAACAATCACTCATGGTGTGACACTCCAGAGGGCGCCCAATACACTAAACAGCCAAAACTGCCCTCACCTTGTGGACCAGGCTAAAAACGCGCCAAAGACGAGGACGAACGCCTTGTAGACGATAACCACCAGAGTCCAAAGGGTGTTGTTAGCGGACGCGCAGATGACATAGAGCTCTACGCGCTTCGTGTGGTGTTCCAGATCCTCTTTGGTCTACGACAAACCACGTGAGTAGAAGAGACGAGACATTAACACGGGAATAAAAATAGGGTTAGGTAGTTTTACAGAAGTACTTTTAAGACTGTCTGAGCTCTGAAAGCTTATTAAGACCCACCCCAAGGTGGTCTAAGCATACATGTACTCGATTGATTAAGACTGATCAGTCAAACGTTTTCCAACAATAACTCGTACGTTTCAGTAAAGATCCTCTACTTTTTGTTAGAAAATTTTGTGTGCATTTTCTTATCCGTGTTCATAGGTCACTGTCAAATGACTTGTTTTTGCCGGATCGTTAACCAGGCTGAAATGGCCGTTACTGCCCCTATTGGTGGAACGCTTTTCGCTCTATAGACAAAAATACATCTCGAAATTTTGACGTCACACAACACCAAATTGGGGAAAGGAGACAATATCTTGGGTCACCTTGGCAGGCTTAGGCCAAAAAATTACACTTATTACTTCTTAATTAATTGGTCGAAATTACAGTCACATGAAATTATTTTTAATCAATCATTCTTTTTTGCCAAGCTTCACTGAGCTTCAAAACACACCTTCCTTTAGGAAAACACTTTAGCCTAACCGATTAAGACCTTCCACGTGACGGCATCTCAGCCAATAGGCTTGGGCAAACCATCTTAAGTGAATACATGAATAGATAATAAAACGCCCCTTTCTTGGGATGTGTCGTTTAGCCGATTTTCAAAGTTACCTGAACTATGGGGAGTCTGTCTTCCTTAATGCGTATTGGATCGATGATCTGCCAGGGGACGAGTATGGCAAAATCCACCAACAACAGCATGGCGATGATACCGAAGAGATAGTGGTCCTTAATGACCTGACGAACCAAGAACTGAATTATCAGCCAGGTGAAGGGTTGAAATAAAGTCTCTGACATTCCCCATGTACTTCAATTTCAGCAAGCTACTTTCCCCTTATTTTGAGGTTTCATTGGTTTACCTTGGGTGCAGTCTAAAAACAGACCTTTCTCAGGCCTCTATGTCATAATCTGCCAATGAAGAGGGCGAACTGTTTGAATCTCCCATAATTACACGTGGCTTTTTCTCACATGTTCATAACGGGGATGAGAAGAATTTCGAGCTGTGGAGTGAAAACCTGTTTATTTGTTTTTATAAGTCTATGGTTTCAAAAAAAGGTATTTAAGTCGGAGGGAAGAATGTAATTTTCCAAACAAGGAAAAAGGAGGTATATCCCTTACCACCAGGGCTGGCCGCCGATGAGCAAAGCTCACAAACCCAAAAAACTGAAATCAGAGACTTTGCCGTCGGCTGGACAGCGGAGCCGTGTTTTCATACATTTATATTGGTATGGATTGTCGGTTCGAGGATCCGACGCTTTTCAAATAAAAAAGGTTTGGTTTTTCTAGTTCTAAATCTGGAGGGCTAGCAGATACGAGCTCCACCACAAAAATCGAATAGGTACCTTTCTCTTGGTCTTGTTGGCGATGACGATACTATACACCCTCCACATCTTGGTGAACATTCCTCCAAACGCCAGAGTGAAGGCCATTGGGATTATCCACGAGCGCACCTAAAAGGAAAAGGTTACATTACTGCTCCAGTTTTGATCTGGCCGTTGAGTAATTGCACCTAGCTGTTACACTTTAATTTCAAGAAGCCCCCCTACCCTGCAAATGCAGAGGAAACTTTCAGCGTCCACCGTAGATTTATCGATGCCAAGCAGAACAACACCAAGGTATGCTAACAGGATGCCAATTACGATGATGTTGTTCACCTTTGGGCTTGACATCTTGATCTGTCTGTGGAGATCGCAGGAGAGAAATCCTTTGTCAGGAACACGATTGGATCTAGAGACACTGTTATTGGGTGAAGGATAATGGTGGCGTGTAGAAAGGTTTGGTCCACTGAGACATACTGCTATAGCTTGCTACATCAATGAGTAGGATAGTCAAGGTGGTTTCATATCGCGCAGATTTGGAAAAACAACCTGTCCTTCTGCTAAGCTTGGCAAACAAAGCGAAATACGGCTGTGCGCATGTCCCTTGGCCCACTCTTGCAGCTGGGTCAAACAAAATACATAATTCATGAGTGATGACCCGGCGAAGAACGGCTTCAAAACGCAGGGATGTTTTTCATGAATATTCACATTTGTAGTAGTTACTTTCGCAGAAGTTCATTCATAAGAGTTCTCATGCTGTAATGGATCCTCGAAACAGAGGATATCGGTGTGACGGGCGCAAAACTGGAACTCCGATACAACAACTGGCGTTTGGTCAGTAACTTTCGAGGGATGGATTTCAGGACGGATATCATAGTTAAAGAAAGTTTTCACAAACTCAAGAACCATGTCATGTAAAAGCGCAGGCTATGATTTCTCCAAATCATGTATTTTCATAATGACAAATCTCACAAAAGAGGAAAAAACACGCATTTAAATAATTAAGTTTTGTAACCCTGAGCGGGGTTTCCCGCTAAACGTGCAGCGCGGTCTAGTATGGTGCTAGCCGACTCAGTTGTTCATTGGCCAACGTGGGCACTTCACAGTAGTGCACCTCCAAGAGTTTGCAACGCAATGTGACCAATCAAAATGCTCGAAATCTGTCAATCCCTTCCAAATACGCATTGGGTAGACAGATTTCGCGCACTGTGATTGGTCAACGCGTTGCAAACTCTTGGAGGCACACTATTGCGAAACGCCCTTATTTGGGCATACGCGATTCTAGACCGTAGCTGTCAAAGGGTAAACGTAATGACCTAAAATATTCCCTCTAAGTAATTGATTACTCCGAAAAGAGAATTATTTCAAACAGATTAGTATCAATCAAAAAGTGCATGATTATAACACATAATACGAAGAAAAATCAACATTTCAGAAATAATCTGCATGAGTTCGTTTCATTCTATTGTTTACGTTAATATATATTTTTATTGCGTCCTGTTCTTCGTCATTGTGGCTCCGTACCTGTAAGTAATACGCGTACGGGGGACAAACCTTCTTCACTGGGAACATCTGTTTTCTCCCTTTGTTCCCTGACTTTATCTTCTTCAATGTAATCTGTCGAACATATGCAGCAAGGTATGAGACGGAGAGAACCCCCCCCTGCTTTGTGTTAGTCATTGTTTCGCAGGAATTGGGGGAATTCCTTTCAGACATCTTGGGGTGGGATGTGTTAAGTAACAATAGTCTGGAATGTGTATAGTGATTGGTCATGTTGGGGGGTACCCCTCGGTCTCATTTCTTGCTGGGTATACTGTCAAATGGGGTGGTGCTCTAACTACTAAGGAGTTCCAAACCTCACTTCCTTGTAACGTAGTTTAAATCAATTTTGGAAATAGTTTCAATCATTAATGAGTCACCATTTGTAACTTATTCTGAACAAAATTATCATAAATTCATATTGCAATTAAATGTTAATTTTGCCATTGTTGTTTCCTGTTCCCAGAAATAAAAATTTACCTTACACTCAATTCAAGATAGCCGACGCATGAATACGGTCAGTATTGTCGGGTCCAAGAACCAATCTCGGGTTTGCCAATGCACCAACCTTTCGTTGCGTTTCCAGATGTTGAACACGAGAAACGTGATGGCCAGAGCGGACCCCAGGGCTGCTAACACGCTCACTGTAGCCAGGATTCCATTAGGAATGCTTTGCAAAAGCTCAATGGTCTTGGTTATGTCGGAATCAAACGGTGGCTCTCCTCCTTCAAAACCAAAGCGGTGCAGTTAACGTAACAGAGAATTTCTGGTATGTTTAGCCAAGCTCTACTCGACCACTTAATCCGATTCCCCGCTGCTGTTGACAAACATGGCTTTCACGGACAAATGCCCCTACTCTTAATGGGGCGAAATATATTAAGGTATTACCTAATCGATGACGCATTAAGGGAGATTTTATGCTTCGCTAATATAAACCTCAAGGCAACGAATTTGACAGCAGGCCTACCGTCATAGCCTTTCAAACAGGTAAGAACCTGGAGAATGGAAAATGCCATCCCAGATTCAAACGAAAAGTACCCACATCCTTAATTATTTTCCTTATCCATTAGGTTAGGCAAGCCCACATGCAGCAAGGTATG